AGGGGGCTGGCATGGCGGGCGGCTGGGCGACGGCGCTGGGCCTGGGGCTCTGCCTCACCGTGCTGCCCTGGGGAGGTGAGTGCGACCCCCGGGTTGGGGGGGGCGTAAACCACCCTTAACTCTGCCCCCCTGCCCCAAACGGGGCTGAGACCGTGCCCGCTCAGTGCACCCACTGGCCTCCATGTCGCCTCACAGGCTGCCACCCCCCCGGCACAGCCACGGCACCCCAAAGATCAGCGGGTAAGGACACCCTGTGGGGATGATGGCGGGGGGGGGGAACCACAAAAAAAGATGTTTTCACCACCCTTCCCCCCTCCCATGGTGTCCCTTCCCCACCGCAGCACTACGGGAAAATTTCCGCCTGCAGCCGGGTGATTTGGTGGCCACCGCGGGGCAAGTGTTGGAGCTGGATTGCGTTCCCCCCTCGGGGCACCCCGAACCCCACGTCACCTGGAAGAAGGATGGGGTGACCTTGGACTTGGCGGGTGACCGGTACACGGTCACCAACGGGAAGTTGCGGGTGGCACCGGCGCACCGGAGTGACTCTGGGCTCTACGTCTGCGTGGCAGCCAACGCGGCGGGCGAGAGGGAGAGCCGGGGCGCCCACGTCTCCGTCCTGGGTAAGACAAGGGTATCCCATGGGTGGTGGACGTGTCACGACCACCCTCGGTGCCACGTCCTCTGTGTCCCCCACAGAGAAACCCACCATCACACGGCACCCGAGTGACGCTGCGGTGGCGGCCGGCAGCACTGTGGAGCTGGGCTGCGGTGCCCAAGGTGACCCAGCGCCACGGGTGCAGTGGCACAAGGAACGTGGGGACCTGCCCTGGGGCAGGTAGGTGGTGTCAGGGTGGAGGTGTCCCACCCCCAGGGTGGAGATGGTGCTGATGGAGAGTTGGTGACCCACAGGCATGAGGTGGACCAGGAGAACACGTTGCGCCTCTATGCTGTGACGCCCGCCGACTCTGGCACCTACGTGTGTACGGCACAGAGCCAGCTGGGCACCGCCGCCGCCACCGCCCGCATCCACGTGGAGGGTCAGTGGTGGGACCTCTGTGGTCTGCACCGCCATGGGCACCCAGGGACACCTGGGGGTCCACACAATGGGATCTGACTAATGGGGTCCATCTCATGGGGTTCATCCAAGGGGGTCATCCATGGGGAGTCCATCCATGAGGGTCCATCCATGGGGGCCCATCCAGGGAGGTCATCCAAGGGGTGTCTGTCCAAATGGGGTTTATCCATGGGGGTCCATTCAAGGAGGTCATCCATGGAGAATCCATCCGTGAGGGTCCATCCATGGGGGTCCATCCAAGGAGGTCATCCAAGGGGTGTCTGTTCAAGGGGGGGTCCATCCATGGGGATCCATCCAAGGAAGTCTATCCAAGGGGGTTCATCAAAAAAGAGTCCATCCCACTGAGTCATCTAAAGGGGTCCATTTAAGGAGGGTCCATCTAAGGGGGTGCCTCTGTAGGGCAGTCCATCTCAGGAGGTCCATCTAAAAGCATCCATCCCACAGGATCCATCTAAGGGGTCCATCCAAGCATGTTCATGTAAGGGGATCCATCTAAGGGGAGGCATCCAGGTGAGGGTCCATCCAAGGGGATCCATCCAAGTGGGTTCCTCCAAGAGGGTCAATTTAAGGGGGTTTGTCCAAGATGGGGGGCCCATTAAAGGGAGATTGAACAAGAGGTATCCACCCAAAGGGTCCATCTAGGAGGGATGCATCAATAGGGATCTATCATGGGGTCCATCCAAGAGGGGTCCACCCAAGACAGACCCATCAAAGGGTGTCTGTCCAAGGGGGTCCATCAAAGGGGTCCATTTGAGTGGGTCCATCCAGGGACACATCAAGGTTTCCAGATGGGTATCTGAGGTGGGTTACTGGGCAGGTGCTGGGGGACTTTGCTCCTGCCAAGCGCTGCCTCCCTTTGCCCCACAGACCAGGCATCGCCGGGCCGGCGGGGGGCTGCGCCATGGGACCCGCTGGCCGTGCAGCTCTACCTGGACAACGGCACCGTGCTGCCTGCTGCCGCCGTCCATCTCCGCTGGCGGGTTGGTGTGAGGCCAGGATGTCCCCACCAGAGGGGTGGGATGTGACACAGGGGTCTCCATGTCCCACCATGACCCATAACCCTTCCCATCCCCTTCAGATGGTGACGCCAGTGCCGGTGCTGGTGGGGTACATGGTGCTGTACCGCTGCCTGCTCCCTGCCAGCACCTCCTGGGTGCAACACGACGCGGGCAGGGAGCTCAGTGCCATCATCCCTGCGCTCCGCAGGGGCTACAAGTACGAGTTCAAGGTCCGACCCTACGCTGGAGGGACCCAGGGCTTGGACAGCAACAGCAGGTACCTCTGGATACCTGAGGAAGGTGCGTTGGCTGTCCCCAGGGATGTCCGGGTAGAGGATAGGGACATCGACTGGGTGTTCCAGGGGTCCCAGCGCTCCTGTTTCGGCAGTGCCGAGCGCAGCACCCCAACACGTCACCGTGGGCCAGGCTGAGACAGGGAACGGCAGCGTGGTCGTGAGCTGGGAGCCACCTCCTCCTGAGGCCCACAACGGCATCATCCAGGGCTACAAGGTCTGGGGTGACAGGGCAAGGTGGTGGGGTTGGGTGACATCTGGCCAAGGAGGTCCATCCAAGGGGTCTGTCTAAGGGGGATCATCCAAGAAGGGAGCCTGTCAAAGGTGGGGTCTATCCAAGGGTGGCCATCCAAGGTGTAATTGTCCAAGGGGGGATCCATCCAAGGGGCCCACCCAAGGAGGATCTTGACAAGGGGGTTCATCCAAAGGGGCCAACCATGTGGAGGTCCTTCCCAGAAGATCCAAGGGGTCAGTGTAAAGAAGGGGGTTGTCCAAGTGTATCTAGCTCAAGGAGGTCCATCCAAGCGGGTTCAACCAAGGGGTTCCATCTAAAATGGTCATCCAAGAGAGATTCATCAATGAGGGTCCATCAAAGGGACTTATCTAAGAGGGATGATGCAAGGGTGTTCCATTAATAGGGATCCATCAAGGGACTCATCTAAAGGGGACCATCCAAGGGCATCCACCCTAGGGGCATTCATCCAAAAGGGTCCGTGCAAAGGGGGTTCTATCAATGGGGGTCCTTAAAGGGGATTCATCTAAGAGGCCCATCCTCTTGGTGCCTGCCAGGTCTGGTCAGTGGGCGAGGGCTTGCAGCACCCCACCAACAGGACAGTGGACGGAGGCACCCATCGTCTGGAAGCCCTCCACCCAAACCCTGGGGCCGAATTCTGTGTCCAGGTGGCAGCTTTCAACGGCGCAGGGCTGGGGGTCCCCAGCAATGCCACCTGTGGCATCCTGGGTAGGGGACGGGGAGAAAGATGGGGTGCGGGTGGGGGTCAAGGTGGTGCCATGGGGGTGACGTTGATGGGACCATTGCAGGGATGATGGCGGGGAGCACTGGGGTGGTGCGGGTGCTGCGGCAGCCCGCCGTCATCGCAGCCACTGGCTCGCTGCTCTGGTTGGCCTTGCTCGCCCTCCTCCTCCTCCTCTGCCAGCACCGTGCCACTCAGGATGCTGCAGCTCGCCACAGGTGAGCAGCTTTGGAGTGGGGGACATGGGGGGGGTCCCTGGCAGGGTGGGGATGAGATGCCCTGATGGCACCTTTTACTCCGCAGGCTGATGGCTGGTGACTCGCCGTGGCTTGGTGGTCCCTGGAAACCTGCCTGTGCCCCCCAAAACCTCAGCAGCAGCAGCAGCCTCAGCAGCCGGCTCCTGGGCAGTGACGGCAGGGACCCCCACCCCTCTAGTGAGCCCCACTGGGACAGGGACCCCCACCCAGAGCCATGGGACCCCGACCCCTCCAGTGAACTCTAGGGCTGGGACAATCACCCCATGCCATGGAATCCCCACCTGATGTCATGGGACCCCCACCCAGAGCCATGGGACCCCCACCCCTCCAGTGAGCCCCATGGGGGATGGGACCCCCATCCAGAATTGTGGGACCCCCACCCAGTGCCTGGAACCCCCCAGGGTGCTAAAGGACCAGCAAAAGTTGTCTGACACCCCCACCCTATGCCTGGGACACCCTGGTGCCGTGGCACCCTTTCTTCAGGCTGCAAGGACCTGGGGACAGACAGAGCTGAGGATGGAGGGGATAAGGGACACCCACCTCAGCACCCATGGGTGCTCTGACCACTCTCACCCCTCCAGCCCTGTCCTTGGAGCCGTCAAGCCTTGGTCCCCCCACATCCCCAAACTGCAGCAGCCTCCACGGGGGACACCCACTGCCTCTTGGGGACACGGGGTGCTGTGACAGGGGGCATCCTGGGGCATGCACCGAACCCAGCACCCCGAACCCAGCACCCTGGGAGCGCATCCGCAAGCGAGGTGTGTATGGGAGGGACACAAGGGACACGAAGGGATACTGGGGATGTGGCTCATGGCGCTGTGTTGTGTCCCTCTCCCCGCAGAGCTGCACCAAGTGCACAGCACCCCGGTGCTCACGGGTGGCCCTGGGCACATCCCCGTCACCAGGAATGGAGGTGAGTGGGGAACAGATTTTGGGCTGGCAGCTGGGTGGCCTCAGCAAAGGGGACATGACAGTGACACCACCACTGCCATGATGGCCGGAGGGGACCGGCGGTGGCTGCCAGTCTTCAGCTCCCCAAAACCACATCGAGGCAGTGCTTCACTGGCCTCCAGTGTCACTGGGACACCCCCAAGACCTTCCCATGCCTGGCACCCGCCAGTGACCCGGTGAGTCTGGGTGTCCCCACCCTGGGGACACAGATGGGTGCCCTGCACCCCAACCCCGTGCTGTAAAAACCACCGTGTCCCTTGCATCTGCAGGTCCCTGGCTATTGTGTGCCCCAAGGACACATCCCCAGTCACCAGGCATCCCAAGGACATGTCCCTGGCCGCTGGGATCCCCAGGGATACATCTCCAGCCACGCAGCACCCCAGGGACACATCCCCGGTCACTGAGAGCCCCAGGGATGTGTCACCAGTCACCAGGCACCCTAGGAACATGTCCCTGGTCACTGAGCACCCCAAGGACAGGTTCCTCGACAGCAGGCATCCCAAGGCTGTGTCACCAGTCACCAGGCATCCCAGAGACATGTCACCGGACACCAGGCACCCCAAGGACCCATCACCAGCCACCAGGCACAAGAGGGAAAAAATCCTGGCCACCAGTCACCCTGAGGACATGTCCCTGGTCACCAGGTGCCCCAGGGACATGTCCCCAGTCACCAGGCACCCCAGAAACCCATCACCAATGACCAAGAGCCAGAGGAACATGTCACCAGCCACCAGGCACCCCGAGGATGTGTCCCCAGACATCAAACATCCAAGGGACAGGTCTCCAGTCACTAGGCTTACCAAGGAGAAGTCCCCAGCCACTGGGCACCGCAAGGACAAGTTCCTGGCCACCAGGTATGGCAAGGACATGTCTCTGGCCACCGAGCACCCCAGGGACTCATCAGCAGTGACCAGACACCCAAGGTACATGTTCTTGTCCAGCAGGTACCCTGAGGACATGACAGCACCTACCAGGCATCCCAGGGACACATTCCCAGCCACTGGGCACCCCAGGGACACATCCCCAGTCCCCAGGCACCCTGAGGAGATATCCCCAGTCCCTGAGAACCACAGGGACAAGTTCTTGGGCAGCAGGTACCCCAAGGACATGTCCCCAGCCACCAGGCATCCCAAGGACCCATCACCAGTGACCAGGCACCCAGGGGACACATTTCTGGCCACCAGATACCCAAAGGACCTGTCACCGGTCACCGGGCATCCTAAGGACACATCCCCCGTCCCCAGGCACCCTGAGGAGATGTCTCCAGTCACTGGTCACTGCAAGGACACATTCTTGGGAAGCAGGTACCCCAAGGACATGTCCCTGGCTGCCAGGTGCCCCAGGGACTCATCATGGGTGACCAGGCACTCAAGGGACATGTCCATGACCACCAGATACCCTGAGGACATGTCACCAGCCATGGAACATCCCAAGGACACATCCCCAGCCAGCAAGCGCCTGAGGGACACATCCTCAGTCACCAGGCACCCTGAAAAGATGTCTCCAGCCACTGGTCACCAGAAGGACACGTCCTTGGGCAACAGGTACCCCAGAGACATGTCCCTGGTCAGCAGGAACCCCAAGGACGTGTGCCTAGCCACCAGACACCCCAAGGACACATCACTGGTGATCAGGCACCCGAGGAACATGTTGCTGGCCATCAGGTACCCTAAGGACACGTCCCCAGCTACCAGGCACCCAAGGGACACGTCACCGGTCACTGGGCGCCTCTCACCAGCATTCAGCGATGGGGTCCTCACGCCGCAGCGGGTGGCCGAGGACCTGGAGATGGACCAGGACATCACCCGCCCCAGGTATGTCCCATCTCCCTGGGACTCTATGATGGTGGCAGGATCCCCCAGTGCCGGCAGCCTCCCCACTGTGTCCCCCACAGCCTCCCAGCACCAACCACACCACGGTCCTTCTCACCACCACACACCTATGGCTACATCTACGGGCCACCAGCCTCTGAACTGGGCGAAGAGGAGGAGGAGGAAGAGGAGGAGGAGGAGGAAGAGCGGCCAGCGTCGAGGGGCTCACCGGGGGGGTCACTACTGAATGGCTGGGGGTCTGTCTCAGAGGACAACTTTGCCAGTGCCCGCTGCAGCTTGGTGAGCTCCTGTGATGGCTCCTTCCTCCTAGATGCCAGCTTTGCCCGGGCGCTGGCTGTGGCTGTTGATGGCCTCTGCTTTGGCCTCGAAGACACCGATAGGGCCTATGGGGGTGAGCAAAGGGTCCTCAGATCCCCCCTCTGTCCCAGAGAATCGTCACCTCCTCGAGGAAGGTGGCCCCATCATGACACCATAGTGATGCCACCATCTCCTGCCTTCTCCCTGTCAGGTCTCTCACCACCACCATCACCCTTGGAGGGCATCTTCTCACCTGGGGTCCCCATCCCCACCTGGGACTGGGGGACAGCACTGGGGGCCCCCCAGGGAGTCGGGATGGAGACAGCAGCGGGCATCCCACAGCACAGTGAGTGGTGCACCAACACCGGGGTAATGGGCACTGGGGACTGTGCGGGGTGCTGGAAAATGTCTTTTTCTTTCCAGGTGGCCATGGGTCGAGGAGTGGCACCCCCTGGGCCAGTGTGGGTGGCGAGCTGGGGACAGGAGGGACGGGAGCAGGATGTCGGACACGGCAAGGCCAGAGTCCCCTCAGCTCAGCTAAAATCCAGCTTTATTAAGTGGTTCTCCAAAAAGGGGTTTTCTGCTAGCAAAAGCCACCTATGAAGGGTGGGTGGCACAGGGGTGGGCAAGTGTCCCTCCTTCCCCAGCATCCTTGTCCTCCCCAAGTGTCCTCATCAATCCCCAGACCCCTTCATCCCTCCATATCATCTTCATCCTCCCCATGTGTCCTCCTCCTTCACCAGGATCCTCATCCCCCAACCATCCTCATCCAGCCCAGGTTACCATTGTCCACCCCAAGTGTCCTCATCCTCGTCCTTCCCAAGTGTCCCCATCCCTCCCCAGCACTTTCATCCTCCCCAAGTGTCCTCATCTTCCCCAAGCATCCTCATCCCTTCCCAGTGTCTTCCTCCTTCCCCAGCATCCTTATCCCCCCCAGTCATCATCCAAATCAAGCACTGTTGTCCATCCCAAGTGTCCTTGTCCTTCCCCAGGGTCACTGTCCTCCTGACCATCCTCATCCCCACTGACCTTGTTCCTTCTGACTGTCCTTGTCCTTCCTGACCATCCCTGTCCTTCCTCAGCATCCTTGTCCCACCTCTGCCATCCTTGGCCCTCCCAAATGTCCTCGTCCCTCCCAAGCCACCTTGTCCTTCCAGAATGTCCTTGTACCCCCTCCAAGTGTCCTTGTTCCTCCTGAGTATTCTCATCCCTCCCCAGTGTCCTCTTCACTCCACAGAGTCCTCATCCCTTGTGACTGTCCCTGCCCTCCCAAGCATCCTCATCCCTCCCAACTGTCCTTGTCCTTAGGGTCCTTGTCCCTTCTGAGCATCCTCCTCATCCCTCCCCAGCGTCCTTGTTCCTCACCAGAGTCCTCATCCCTCGTGACTGTCCTTGGCCTCCCCAAGAACCCTCATCTTTCCTCAAGCATCCTCATCCCTCCCAATTGTCCCCAGGATCCTCATCCCTCCTGTGCATCCTTGTCCCCTCTCAGTGTTCTTGTCCCTCCCAACTGTCTTTCTCCCCAGGTTCCTCCCTCCCTGAGCATCCTCCTCATCCATCCCTGAGCATCCTTATTCCTCCTGAGCATCTTTGTCCCTCCCAAGTACCCCTGTCCATTCTGACTGTCCTTGTCCCCCCTCACACTGCTGCCCACCGGCTGCTGGCTCTGTGCAAACCTATTTACATGGTGCCACTCAGAAATTAAAGATCATCCCCCCCATCCCCCCCAATGTCGACATCCCTGTGTCCCCAACCTTGCCACCAGCTCGCCCACTGCTTCATCGCTTCTCCTGCGACGGGCAGGGAAACGGGGGACCCGGGCGGCGGCGATGGCTGGTCCCTTCACCACGGTCCCCCGGCATCCGGCTGCGCCCCGAGCCGTGGCCGCGGGACCCGGTGGAGCCACGAGATGAAACACTGCCCGTCGTGGAGCAGCTGCCGGACACCTGCCCCCGGGGCAGGCAGGAGGGTTTGCTGTAAGGAATATCCTCTTCTGCAAGGGAGGGGACAAGGTTGGGGTGCGGCGGTGACACCCCCTCAACCCCTTTGGCACGCGGTCGGTGGCTCCAGCTTACCGCCGAGGGCTGGGCGATGGGTGACCTTGCGCTCGACCCCACACGGCTGCCGCTCCGGTGAGGGGCCAGGGCTCTCACCCGGTGGCGGCAGTGGCGGTGGCGGCAAGTCTGCAGCAGAGAGGGAGGAGAGGCCTGAGCCCCCTCTGGACCCCAGCCTCGAGCCCCCCCATTTTTCCCTCTTCAATCACCTCCTGGCTGCTTTTCCCGGCGGTAGCGGCTGCATTTGGGCTTCGGGCGACTCTTTGGGGTCTCCCCACGGTTTTTCCCTGGGGGTGATGGCAGTGTCATCACCCCGCAGAGCCCCCCAACCACCCAAAATGGCTCCCCAGGGCTCACCTGTGCCGGTGGGGCGGTGGGCTCGGGGCAGGTGGCCCTCGCTGACATCTGGACTCAGTGAGGGGCTGGATGCCCGTGGAGGGGTGATGGTGCCATGGGGGGGTCTCCTGGTAAAGAGGGGGTGTGGGGTGAAGCTGAGGAGGGAGGAGAGGAGTGGGGGGCTTGGTGGCCACCGTGATTCTGGCACGACCCTCCCCGTGCCGTGTTGTGCCAGAGCAGGGAGAAGCCACGTGTTGGCACAGCTGGATGGCAATGGGTGGGCTGAAACATCACAGCTGGATGGCAGTGCCACAGCTGGATCACAGCAGCATTGTGGGGGCACAGCTGGATTGCAACAGCACTGCTGGATTGTGGCAGATCTGGGCCACAACAGCACAGCTGGATGGCAATGTCCCAGCCAGCTCCTGATGGCACAGCTGGAGTTACGCCACGATCAGCCCACAGCAGCATGGATGGGTCATGACAGCATGGCCAGAGCACAACTGAGTGCGAGGATGGATGGTGACAACGTGGCTGGATTGTGGTGAGACATCTGGACCACGGTGGGACATCCAGACCTCAGTGGGACATCCGGACCCCGAAGGCATGGCCAGACCATGATGGCACAGCAGGGCCAGATCGTGACAACATGGCTGGATCACGATGGGACATCTGGACCCTGATAGGACATCGGACTCCAACGGCATGGCTGGACCATGATGGCACAGTAGGGCTGGATCATGACAACATGGCTGGATTGTGATAGAATGTCCAGACCTCAGTGGGACATCTGGACCCCAATGGCACATCTGGACCATGATGGGACAGCACAGCCAGATGGTGACAACATGGCTGGATTGTGATGGGGCATCTCAGTCAACCCCAATTGAATATCTGGAACCCCATGGGACATCTGGACTCCAATGACACAACCGGACCATGATGGCACAGCATGGCTGAATGGTGACAACATGCCTGGATTGTGATGGGACATCTGGAGCCCAATAGGACATCTGGACTCCTATGAAACAACGGGACCCCAATGACATAGCCAGATCATGATGGCACGGCATGGTTGGATGGTGACAACATGGTTGGCTTGTGATGGGACATCTGGACCCCAATGGGACATCTAGAACCTGATGGGACATCCAGACCCCAATGGCACGGCTGGACCAAGTGAGGCCCATCTCCTACCGGGGCAGGCGGGGGCTATCAAAGTCATGGAGGCGGGGGATGTCCTCGGTGGCATGGGGTGATGGCGTCAACGTGGCAGTGGACCGGCAGCCAGAGGAGGCAGTGGGTGAGGATGCGGCGGTGGCACAGGGGATATTCTCACCGGGGTACCACTCCTCTGTCCCCAACCTGTGGGGTGGGAGGCACAGGGTGGGTGCTGGGGCCAGCACACAACCTCCACAGCAAGGTGGGCGCAGACCTCTGCACCTTTCCCCATCCCTTCTCACAGCACAGGATCCTCTACCCTGGGGGAGATCCCCCGCCAATGGATGCCCCAGCCCCTCAGGCCCCCCTACTCACCCTCTGGCTGCCTCTTCCTCTTCATCCTCCTCTTCCTCCTCCTCCTCCTGGGTGCAGCGGCTGAGCTCACTGGCTGAGGGCGGCGGGGGCAGCAGCTCCGTCCAACTCACCACTGGTGGTTTCACTGCTTGCCCCAGCTTTTTCCCTTTGGCCCCTGCACCGAGGAAGGATGTTGGGGGGGTGCTGAAGGGAGGGGACTGTGCCACTGGCACCCAGGTGTACCCCCACCCATCCCACCACCCTACCGTGCTCAGCCCGGCTGCGGGGTGCCTGGGGGGCCAGGGCATCCATCGGCAGGGGACCCCCCCCAGTGTAGGGGGTCCCATGCTGGGAGAAGGGACGGGGGAAGGTGCAGAGGTCCTCGCTGCCCACCTCGATGGTGCTGTAAACTGGCCCCTCGCCGGCCCCCACCCCAAATTGCTCTGTCTGGGCGATGTAACGGGTGATGCCGGCATCTGCGGAGGGTGGGGATCATCGTCAGGGCTGACCATGGCCCCCCCCAATCCAAACCACCCATCTCCATGATGAGCCCTCACCGTTGTAGTATCTCTCAGCAGTCCCCAAACAACCGGAGGCACCGGCTGTGCCCCCACCACGCCATGTGTCCGCCAGCCATGGGTAACCACCACCGGCAGCTGCCCTACACGGAGACAGGGTGAAGGGATGCCAGAGGTTGGGGGTCCCGTGGAAGGGGGAAGGAATTGGGGGGTTACCTGGGGCTGCCACGAGCTGGAGCCGGGAAGGCAACTGTGGAAAGAGGTGGGGGTGAGGGCAGCGAGGGGCCGCGCCGGGTCCCTGCAGCACCTATGGGCTTACCCGTGGGTGTGTAGGCAAAGGATGCTGTGAAGAGAGAGAGAGAGAGAGGCAGGGGGTGGCTGGTGGGATGATGGGTGCCAGGGTAGGGGGGATCGCAGGGGTAGCATACCGGTGAAGTGGCTGAGCTCCTTCTTCCTCCGGCGGCGGCCATAGAGCCAAGCGGCGAAGGCAGCGAGGATGACCCAACAAGCGCCGCCAACACCGGCGATGAAGGCCGGCTGCCTGGCCACCTCGGCCAAACGCTCGGCCACACTGCTCCCGCCCGCCAGCCCCACATCCCGCTCTGCCGGGGGAGCTGCAAACAGCACAGGGAAGGGGGACACACCAGTGGGGGTGCCGAGGAGTCGTCCCTAGCACCAGGGTGACCCCTGCCACCCCCCTACCTGTACCAGCAAGGGTGACGAGGGACTCACCGATGCGGATGGGGACGGGGGCACTGCGGGCACCCACACCGGCACCGGTGGCAGCGGCGACTTCGGCATGGTAAGGGACACCAGGGACCAGGCCCTGCAGCACTGTCGCCAGCACCGTCCCCTCCACGCTCTGGTTGATGTGGAAGCGGCTCTCGTTGCCCAAGCACCAAATCTGAGGTGGGGGGGGGG